AGCCCACCACTATCCCCCTGGGTGTTTGGAAATCCAAGGTGTTGTGTTTCACACTGGGGTCACTAACACCACAACACAATGGCCATTTCAAGTTCTGCCTTGTAAAGTTGTAGTGCACTCTCAGAGGAAATACAAAACTTTTCTCCTTTGGTTTAACAAACAGCAATTAAGTCCCTAAAATGTAGGTTAGTTGGTTCTCCTAGGCACCTATTTGCACATTTTTAACAACAAAGTCACCTTGAAAAATATTTAAAAGGAATCAGATCTTTGCATTAATTCTTGCTGTAGGATGTGGAATTAAACAGACTAAGACATTGCTGATGTATGCTTAAGTCTTACAAAAGAGAATCAGCATTTGACAGCATTTCATGTGCCAAACTCAGTGCATTTGAAGAGTTGCAGAATCATGTTTTACCGACACAGACACATGTATGCTTTGATCTTGTTTTGAATAATTTTCTGGGACTTTGTAGCCAAATGCCTTTAGGAATATGTATCTACACACATTGAAAACAAACAACACTCACTTTATAGCTGCACAAAACAGACACAAAAAGCCTCAGCTGCACAAGGGTATGGACGCACCCAAGCTTCAAACATTATCTGCTCTTCTGACACAATTGAAAGCAAATTAAAATGGGCAAATAACTTGCAAGAAATTGCTGCCTGAAGTACATGGATCTTCCTGTCACAGCCTTATAAAGCTGAAATTATCCAGCATGCAAAATGCACTGTTAATTTTTATCATAAAGAAACCAAAAGCATTATAACCATGCTAGAAACTACGATTATTTAAAAATGGATGCAAGAACAGCTGATCTTTATTCTGGAAGTTGAACATCATGCTAGGGATGTTTTTTCCTTTAAAAAAGAAAGAAAAAAAAAAGCACGTCCAACACATGCTACTTAGGAGAAGCATCTGGCTCAGAAACACAGAGCAAAGCCAAGAAATCACCAAACTGAATGTTTCTGCACTACATGTATTGCCCTCTCACCCCACTAAAATATATTCATGCCTCTTCCAATCTCTCTCAGCACTGGTTAGTTCACCTTGAGCATGCATAAGAGTTGATGAGGAACTGTCCCTCCTACTCTACCTAATTTTGCTCAGCTGATTCCTGGCCCTGGACAATGGCTGCAGTGCGATGAACTCGTCACTTAAAGCAACTCTGTTGGAGTACATCTACAATTGGACAGAGAAGGGATGGAACATACATGTCAGTAAGTAGCAGCAGTAATTTTCTAAGAGAAAGACACAGGACAACACATTGTTAATTAAGTGGAATACACATCATATACAGAGCACAAGCCTGGTACCTTCAAGACAGCTCCTGGGACCATCACAGCCAGTCACTGGCAGGACCATTCTTACAGTACCTTTGCTTCCATGCTGAGAGAAAAGGCCTACACACTTTTACATCTGTGCTTTACAAACACCTTTATTCTGTATTGCTTTCGCCCTCCAACAGTGCTGTGATTTATCTTTGCTCCAAGATTTATATTTTGATTCACTTTTACCTTACTGTCCAATTCCTCCTGTATGATTCTGTAACAGACCTATATTGAGAAATTGCTCACAAGCTACTTCAGGGTAACTGACCTCAGTGAAACATAAGATGGCTTTTCTTTAGGCCAGCAGAAAATCCTTGAAACACAACAAAACTAAAATAAAATACAGTAACACACATTTACCTTAAGTGCATTCAAGAACATAAAGTTAACCAAGCTCATTGTCTATAAGTCAACTCATGCTTGCCTGTCAAATTTTTAATTTTTAGTTTCCTAAAATGAGCGACTTAGACTTAAGTTGCTGTTAAAGAACAATATTTACACTTTAAAGCCTATCAAATTTTTCTCTTGTATCAGTTAAATTTCTCTGCTTCCTTATGAAAAACTTAGCTACATGTAACATCTAACAGATCAGAGGCAAACTCACACTTGATGCTATCACCTTATACTAACAAAAAGATATAAAATCAAGATAAGGCAGATTCCTACAGATATAGTGAATTCAGAGCACTAAGGTAATTCACACACAAGAAAGTTCTGAAAAATTAAAACACTAGGGGCAAGCATTTTCAGCTGAGAAATGTGTGTTTGGCTCATTGCTCCTGGGATTAGTTTAGAATTTAAATGATGGCAGACAGAAACAAATAACCTAAAAAGCCGCAATTTAAAAACAAGGAACTAGGGCATGTAAGAATTTATCTTGCCATAATAAAAACACAGTAACTATAAACCAAGCTTGTTCTTTCCCTCAATATAAAAATATATCAATGTAGTCCTAAAATTAAAAATGAAAAATTAAACATGTTCAGTTACACAGAGGGTGCACCTACACAGTGAAAAATGATTTTAAAGGACAATGCACAAAGTTCCATATATGAAGGAAGTCCTTCAATGACTTCCACAGAATTCATCAGCATCAGTCATCACCCTTAGCATTTAGGACAAAGATATTCTCCAAACCCTTTCTATCTGAAAGTCAGTCTCTTCCTTTGCTTGGAAATGGAAAGAAAAATATTTACTAGGAATTTTAAACAAAAATTATGAGGTATGATGATAAAAGAAACATTCTGTCACTTCTTGACAACAAATGTGCTAAGGTGATCATCTGCTCCTCTTCAGTTACATTCACTTCCCTACTGCAAGAACAGAGGATGGAATCCAGTGGATCTGACTGTCCCATCAAAGCAAGAGTAGGAAAATCTCAACAGATTAAACCTCAAGAAAGGAACAAAGGGGTGCCTTCTTTTTGCAAATACATTTGTAGCTACAATTTCACTATCAGACACACAAAGAAAAACCACTGGATGGATGCTGAAGAACTTCTGGTCGAATCCCATTTCAGATACCTTGACTTTGGTGCATCAGGAATTAAGAATTTTCAGAGAAAAGACAGTATTTTGGTAAACAGAGGCCTCAGGGCTGACTCTGTCAAATGCAAAGTAGAAAGCAAATAAGAAAAAAGATAACTAATAGAGATGCACAAAGCAAAATCCCCACGGCCAGGCATCAAGCTATAGCCACAGGACAGGAGTTAGATATTCATCAAGATTCCTTCTTAAAAATAAAAGGTGTTACTGTGTCTTTGACTGCACAGCTGTAATGGCATTAAACTGCACCCAAAAAATCTTTAGAAAGGAGTCCTAAAGCAAGAGAATGTAGCAGGAAGCACATGGATAAAGGTGGGAAAATCCACGTGGCTTTTAAGGTTTTAATTCAAGCACTTCAAGAACATGAAAAACCTCAAGAACCACACCAATACCATGCCAGACAGCAAGAGGTGATGTACAGCAAGGAAGGAAGGAGAGTGTTTAAAAAATACTACCATTAGTTTTTGAAGAGATAAAAAAGGTAAATATCATTACCTACAGACACTCTAACCCAAGAAGTGCAGTAATGTGCAATCCAGAGCCTTACCAGGTCTATCTGAACAGTCTTATGAAAGCCAGTGGTTATTTACTTTGGCTTTTAGCTACTAAATTCCAAGACAGGAAAAAGCAGCCAATATTCCAATATTTGAAAGGGACTAGTGGGATATTTTGACTAGCAGTAGGCTTATCAACATGATGTTGATCCTAAGCAAATGAAGGTCTCACACGTTTGGTTTTTTTTTAACACATACATTAGAAGGGTAACATAATTTAATTAAATCAATGTGCAGTTACATCAAAGTAATTACAAGGTTAGATGCTAAAGATTGCAGCACTGATGCAGTGCAGTCAGCAGTTCTGCATGGCACAGAGCTCAGTGCCACTTGCATTAAGCAATCAGGACACCACAAAATCCATCTGGCACACAGGTGGGCAGAAAGCTGCTGAGAGCTTTCAGACCATAACTGTGCATGGGATATCTCTGTCAGCTGGGCTCTTCATACACTTTCACTATTTTTGGTCCTATGCTAATTGACCTCTCATCAATGCCCTGAAAGAAACCAACATCACCACCTGCAGATGTGTAGAAGATGCAGAAGACAACAGGTTATTGCTGTATGTTATTCTGCAATCTGAATGTAGCTGGGGACTCATTATTTCTGTACTTGGCACTGATGTCTGCTGTACTGGAATATTGGATCCACTGGTCAAATCCAAAATTCAAAATGAGGTTGAAGAAGGGTGAAAATTACAGGAGAAACACAAGAATGATGAAAAGACTCTAAAACAACATTTTTGACTGAAGATGCAAGTCCAATCTACCTATCAGTGCTAAAATTAGCTTGATCACAAAGCTAACTGTGAATAAAACAAAAACTGTAATAGACACCTTCTCAGTTTAGCAGAAGAAGTATAAAAAGACAAAAAACGTTGAAAACTGAAACCAGAGAGACAGTTACTATTAAAACAGTAGGCCAGGATGACTTCTCCCTAATTGTCTCTAAAAAGAAGGAAACACTCAAAGATATTTACTTAAAAGACAGTCTAATCTCACCACAATTATTGATATGATTTTTTGTAGGCTGTGTCAGGCAGAAGGGAGATTCCATTACCACAGCATAACTTTAGACCTTACCTATCAATCTCTCAATCATGAATAATTAGTTTTAATTACAGAATCAACAATCAAATGCATAGCATATGAAATGATTGAGATTTAAGAAATACTAATTAAAACAAGTTTTACTAAAGTAATTTTTACAATTATTGTTTCCAACACATTTTAAGAACTATTCAGTGCTAATTAGAGCAGTAGCTTCTAATACTTCTAATACCTAAACAAAAAGTAATTTACCATCTATAAAGCACTGTAAAAATGTGCAGTATGATCCTTTCATACAGCTGCAAGTTGAGATGCAAAAGACTGACCCCTTCAAATAATTCTATTCTTTTTTTTACCCATTACTAAATATAAACATTACTGCCTTGTAAAATGGTGTCCTCACTTTTGTAATTTGAAATTAACAAGTGTATTTTGAAATGAGAACACTTCTCTGCACTAAACATGACAGCAGTGTAAGAGGGTAACTATTGGTCAAGTTGGATACAAAAGCATAACATTACCTGAGCTTTTTCAGTACTTGTTGGTTGCAGATGTCTGTACAGCACTTTCTTCACAACATCAATAAACAAACAAGCAACTACTATGAGGATTATGGCAAACCAAGCAGAACCACTTGACAACAGCTGAACAAATACAAAGTACATGTCCTGGGTATGTAAAAATGGCCTGAAAAGTTAAAAAAAGGGGCAATTACTTCTAGGAAAAAAAAAACAACTTCTAGGAACAAAAGTACAGCACAGGCTGTCTCAAGTGTATCTAATTTTACATCAAGCAGAGAGACTCAGGATGCAGAGTCACAACTGCACCATGTCCACGTGAAGTCCAGCAACCTGCTGGACCTGACCTGCCAATGAGCTCCAGGAAATGGGGGTACTGAACTTCGGAGGTAAAGGTTCTGATTTAATTTTAAATTGTGCTGCAGAGAATCAATCACCACTCTATCTCTCCAGACTCCAAACTACAAGCAACAATACTTCACTTTACGGATTCAAACTCCAGCATCTTTATTTCTGTTGCAATTATTCACCTATTACATAGTACCTTGGGAACCTATTTACTTAAAAATGCCTTTATAGTTACAGGCTGTCAGAGACAGATACAGTGTGTCATTGAGCACAGGACAGCACAGCAACACTTCTTACATTTTACAATCAATCACCAAAAACAAGTGGCCAGTCTAGATTTAAGTGGCCAGTCTAGATATTTTTACCACAAACCTGTCATGAAATTCAGAGCAAGATGGTAGAACATAATTTTTTAGCTTCATTGATATTGCATGTGATAAAAAGAATGGGGGCAAAATCACTTACCAGATAATTCCCCCATAAAACAAGGAGAATATGAAATAAAATACAATGGATCCCCAAGTAACAAAATGGTTTATCCATGTCCAGAAGTGAGTTTCTAGTGCCATCTAAAACAGAGATAACTTCAGTGAGCTTCTGTTTTCCACCCACTTCACAGAAAATTACAAATACCAGTCAGAACACACTTATGAACTTCCAGCCCAAACACTAAATATTAATAATATTAAATAAATATTAATAATATTAAATAAATAAATATTGTTGTAAAAAATGGAAGAAAAATTTCAACCACTGCTTAAACTAAACATAAAAATCACTTATCTGGATAATAATATTAAATAAATAAATATTGTTGTAAAAAATGGAAGAAAAATTTCAACCACTGCTTAAACTAAACATAAAAATCACTTATCTGGAACCCTCAAGAATCAGTAACTGTGGAATCTATTTTAAATTACTGCTTTATTACATATTTGCCTACACATCCAAGCCCAGAGAGCAGTGTGATATCATACCTTCATCGTAACAGTTATAACCATAACGGTGAAGACCAAAGTACCAAATGTCCAGTTCCCAAACATCTAAGAAAATGGCAAGGCAAAAATCATGGAAGAAAAAAACCATCAGTTAAGGGCATTCACAGTGAGTTAAATTCTTCTCAAGTCAGCTACACTAAAGAAATAAGACATAAGCTTGTGACAAGTAATCATCATGAAAAAAGCAAGGAGGACACAACACAAACTACCAGAAAAAATACGGGTTATGATAAGAGCATAAATAACAACCCTCAAGTCATCTTTCTTCTTAGTTCAAAACAAATAGTCACAAAGGCTACGTGAAATATGGGGAAAAAAAGGCCAAAAAAGGAATATGAAATGACAGGGAAATGAAGACACCAATTTGATCAATTCATTATTAGTGTCCCATAGAAAGGAAATATTGGTGGAAGGTATTCACTTTAAGTGCAAAACACTTTTCAGTTTAAACACTTCCAGATAATTTCAAACATGCAGCATCAAATGAAGGTTCACTTTTAACCCCAAGCACAATTATACAATTCAAAAATAATGGTGCCATTGTATTTTACTAAGAAAATTCTAAGGAAAAGACACTTTGTTTCAAGGCTAATAACACATAAAATTAAACTCTAATTCTGAAACACTGAAATCTGTCACTTTTGTATTCTCTTGTGCTCATAAATTAAACTATCAAAACTCTGAACAAGGTCTACAACAATAAAATCTCAGCTCTGACAACCAAGCAGGGATGCTGAGATTGTATCTATCTACACACATGCTACTCAGGGCTGCCATTGTGCACCAGGTCCAGCCTGGAGCTGGCTGGGGGATCATGGGGAAGATTTTGCTGTTTCACAGCTGGTTTTGCCACTGACAAACTGAACAATGACCAAATCCTCAACTCTGTGATTACTGGCAGCAGACTAAGCAAGCAAGGAGAGAGGTACCACATGCACACAGGCAACCAGGGGCATCCTAGAGCTGATGGGTCAGTACAGCACAGGGGCACGGAACTGGGATTCACACAGTTGTAGTTCTTGTTGCAGAGCTCTGACAAAAAATCCCAACAGCCTGAGGAGAGATCTCACAACTGCTTCTCTCATCTGTACATAAGGTACAAAACAGAGGCAGCCATGAGTCTGGATTTACTGATCATTTTAAAGATCTTTGTGATAACATGCCTTTTTGAAGCCTTGGATTTACTTGTCCCACCAACAGTAATGGTTAACAAGTAATGTGCTTGTTGTTAACTGCTGCAATATTCATCTTAAAAGTAAAATTAAACTGCTTCTCCTGAGTGACCTGTGAAAAAAAGTGTCTTTGCTAACACTGCTCTCAATGGTCACAGAGTTAGAATGCAAAACACACACAGGTTCTTGCCACCATTTTATTTTTGAACACAGTTACACTGCGGATGCTGCATCCTTTAATCCTATGAAGTAACAGATACAATATCTTGTATCTCCTCCTCTTCTAAACTCTTACCATTTGCCTGTTAGGTTTCAATATCTGACGACATGCACAGCATGAAAAAGGGGGGAGAAAAAAGAACTAAAAGATCAAGTTGTTGCACAATGTGTTGAGGTAAGCCTAACAAAGCACCAGCATTAACAAAGTATTTACAGTCTCCTATTCTGCTGTGCTCTGAACTGAGAACTTGGAATGGAAACCTGAGGCCTTGCACTAACACTACCCTGTACCACACATCTGTACAGGTGATCACTTCTTGAGGACTTAAGAAGGCATTTCAGCAGCACACAAAATCCTCTTGCCCTTAATTTTGGCTTTTTCAGGCACACATTAAATTTGCAAGAAACTATGCAATATTCAGTATGCAGATATTTCACTGCAACACAGTTCTACCAGCTCTAATCAACAACTTTTAGCAAACACAGAGAGGCAGAGTAACTAAAACCCAGAAAAATCTTAGAATTCATTTGAAGTCATATCACATAAGAAGCTAAAGGGCAGCTGCCAATTCCCCAAACCACACAGCTGTTACTAAATACAATGGGAGAAGCCTCTTCCTGCCCCGTGGACATTTACTAAGCAATTCTGAAGTGAGGTGCTTTGACAACTGAAGATGGATACACCACACACACTGATTCATAGTCTAAAATTACCTCATTACAAGAGTCCTGAAGGACCTTTACCAGCTCAAAAGAATTTCAAATCCCACAGTTTGTAACAAATGACAAGAGAGGACACACTCATGCCTCAGCTGGGAAGAGACATTTTAGTCTAAAGCACAACTATTTTAATATTTTTATCAATCATCTGATGGTGGAATGGCTGCTCCATTCCCCCCTCACTGCTCCTCCCTCTGCCTGCAGGCCCTCAGCACCATCCTGTTCCCTGCCTGAACATCACTGCATTTCTGACTAAACTTCCTGAGCTCACACCCACGCCCTGGCACCAGGTGACACTGGGAATTCAGCAGGATGCTGCTTTTCTCCCTTGTGCCCTAACTTGCATCTCTGCCAAGCACTATGAGAATTGGCAAGTTCTTCATGCCAGTATTAAGTATGGCATAATGAGAAGGAAGTGTATTTTTCCATTACTATCCATGTTTAACAAGGGAAAAATCAGTACCTAATTGTTTTAAATTGAGTTAAGTAACTCAGAACCAAGGGAAATAAGGAAACAGACTTGTAATGGTTTCGTTCAAGCTTTAAAGTTTTTTGTAAATGATTCTTCCTGTGAACTTTAACATCTTTAAAATAAAAAGTGTCAAATTAGTGTAGGATGATTTCATTAAGGTATGGCCTTAAAAACACTTATTCAATAAACAGCATAATTTAAAAGTAGCTTGCACCACTAAATTTAGAAAAATTCAGAGTAATTAAAATAACATTTTCAGGAGAAGCTTTAAGACTTTTGTCAACTTTCAGCCTAAATCTATAACAGTTACTGAAGAGAAGCCATTGCTTCTCTTGCTTGACATTGCAATTAAGTTCAATTCAAAATGAGTTTTGAATGAATGAATATAAATTTACATTTGCTGACATTATGAAATAGGATTTTGACAAAACAGTTTATGAAATACAACAAAGTTTAAGACAACCATGATACATCTATTATTATGAAAGATATGTTCTTCAGGGACATATGCTTTCTGACAACACCTTACAGTTTCCATGCTAAGAAATGTTACTCTTGAGAGCACACACAAATACTGACAAAGAATCTTTGATAATTGTAATTCATAAAAACAAAATTTTTTTGGACACAGGAGGATTTTTCAAAAAAGCACTAAGAAATACCAACAAAAACACAGTGGTAGAATAACACTTATGATATTGTACCTGGCCATTTCCCAGCAGAGAAGTGTCTTCTCCCATTAGAAGATACGAGCCATAAAAGAAAACAAATGCATGAAAGAAGCCCAAGATGGTCCAGTAAAGAAATGGTTTAAACCCCAGATGGGCATTTTTACTGATGTCTCTGCAGAAATAAAACAGATTTGGATTTCATACTGTCCATAACCATCAGCTATCCACACTGCATGACTGTTACTGCTTTGAATAAATGTAACTTTCAACTGTACCAAGACACATTAAACAAATGCTGACATATGAAAAAAATACATAAATCATGGAAAAAAAAACCTCTGAGCTCTCAAGATTTGGCTCTGCTTTAAGGAGAGGTCACCAACAGCCAGGGTCTCTAATGGGTCAAATTCAGAATAGCATAAACTAGAATTCTTGTCCCTGGAGGTGGAACTGAAAGAGGAAGAAAAAGCCAGATCTCCTGATACTTACCCCTTGCTCTGCTCAAAAAGAGAAACATCTGAGAGGAGACATCTCTTTTTTACAAGACTATCTATTTTTTACTCCAAAAAGTATGCAGTGCAACATGCTGCCACTGGGAGGACATCTAATTCTGCAGGAAACCACTCCTCCTCTTAGTAAAGGATTTTTTGTGGTGATTCCCCTAATCATGGTGCCCTAGTTTTTCATTCTCCTTGTCTGAGTGATTTTCATCCCCTACATGTAATGGAGGAGAAGACTGCCAATCATGTAAGCTGACCAAGTGCTCAGTGCTCTTCACTCGTAACATGGTGGACATAAAAAGACACATCTCTTAAAATATTCCTTTTAATTAGCTTTTAGGATGAGAACTATGTAGCTTCAATTCTTCCTCATCAAGATAGTTACTAAAAATGCCTAAATTACAGATAATTACTGTAGCAAGTTCAGAGCTGTGCAGGTGCCACTGCTGCTGCACAAGATGTGTCCCTGTGGGAACAGACACAGGACATACATACCTGTAGAGCACAGGTTTACTCTGCAATACATGCGGGTGCACATGCTGCTCAAAAAGACTGTAGATGAGGACAGGCAGGGAAGTGAAACAAATATTGTACAAAGTCAGGTATACACTGTCATAGAGCGTCTGCAAAGGAAAGCAAAAAGCATTTTATGCCTTGGAATTGATAGAGATTTATTAGCACACTTACAGCAACATTGATTGATCGGTTACATTAATTTGCTAGTTAGGAAAACAGCTGCACTCACATAACAATCTAATAACATCAGCTATCAATTACAGAAAATGAAGCTGGGTATTTGCTAAGTGTAACATCTCTACTGCTCCTTGTGTCACCCTCCTATTTTCTTAATTATGGACCTCAAGTGCTTCACAGACAAGGCCACAGGCATGCAATACTTACTTGTTGTGAAAACAAACAGAAGAACTGATATAAAAATTGTGGTGTAATAAAGCACACATTCTGAAATAAAGAGAAATTAAGGAAATAGTTAATCCTTAGTACTTGCCTCACGGCCCTAAAAGAAATTGCTAACTCTTAGAAGCTGCTAAAAATACACAGGGAGAGCACAAAGCCTTTCAGCATTTTACTTAGCAAAGTAAAGCAAGTTGCTTTTCTTGAGAGGATATTTTGTTTATCCTTTGGGACAATGAATCTGAAAAGTATGAGCTTAACTGTATGTGCTTGATGAGCACATCTCACTACAGGAGTCTAAGTAGTAATTATGTAGAAGAAATCCCTTCATTTTCCCCTTCAGCTTATTTTTAAGAATTTCTTTGCAGAATAGTTTCCACATTTTATTCAATAAAGCTGTGATGTGCTCATGTGAATTTGTTGCACAGAAGCAAACAAAGAAGAAACCAAAATATAACGCCATGCTATTGCCATTAAATGAAAGAAATCAACTACAAAAGGGACTTGGGAGCCAAAGCTGAAATCCCAGATAAAATTCAATAAAGATAGTGAGTTTTGACTTGTTTGAAAACTGATGAACAAGTGAAAAAAACCAAAAGCACCCCAACCTACCAAACAAGATCCCTGTCTTGAGAAAACAAATGCACCAGCCTCTCAGCCTAGACAAACTCATTGCAGTATTTAAGGCCTATTTCTAGGTGGAAAGACTAAACAATTTCACAGTTAAACTAATACATTTGGTCGTAAAAGATAAAATAAAAAAGCTCAGAAGACATGTTTAAACAGAGATATTTAACCTGATCCCAACAAAAGTCTCAGATCTGAAATAAAAAACTCACCTTATAAAAAAAGTACTGTACAAGGGTTGCTATTCTAATATAGTAAAAGTGCCCATGAACAAAAAGCAACTTGGAGAGGAATTTAAATCGTGCTATTGCATAGTCACTGTTTCTTACAGCTTGCCTTCCTTCCTTGCCCATGATTCCTGTAATGTTTGGAAAACAAAACACAAAACAGATCAAGTGTAACAAAAACTGAAGTTTAAAAAGCCCAACACCATACATTTCAAGCTGCAGTTCTGTTTTCCTTCACTTCAACACCGTAAGGACTTCAGCAGTGTTGCAAAGGAAGATATTCCTCACACTTGAAACTAAAGGAAGCTGCTCATCTGATGCTGATTCCAATAAAGCAGCCCCAAGAGGGGGAGACAGAAGGAAGTTACCTATGCCAACATGTGCCTCCTGGATCATGCTCACATCATTAGCACCATCCCCGATCGCCAACGTTATGGGCTTCTCCGGAGAGGTTTTTAACAGTCGAACCACCTGGAAAAAGAAAATGAAACACTTTCAGATTAGACAGTCTGCCTACAAACCATGTCATCAATTCCCAAGCATCTCAGTTAATTGCCTATCTGTAGATATAATTAATATGTTTTATGAACATCCATGTTTGGGTAAAAAATATCTTCGGCATCACGTGCATACATGAATTCCTTCTTTAGAAAAGCTGCCTGTTTTGGAGCACAAGCTTGATTTAAATATTATATCTGCCTTAAGCATATTTTCCTGTCCTTATTTCAATGTTCTGTTACAACTCTTAGTTTGGTGCTTTATAATACAAAACAAAGTCAAGTAAAATTGAGAACTGAAAATTCACTTACAGACTAATACAGATTTAATGCCCTTTAATTAACCCAGATTCTTCATATTTATAATTAATGGAACTCATCCAGGTGAAAGAATTTGAAAAAGCAAATATATTAGCTAAAATACCAATATGCCATTATTAAGGAAAATAGCTTCTTTCTAAAGCAACTTCATTATCAGCAAGAGGTATCCTCAACTGACAAAGAAACAGAAGATATGACAGAATGAGGGAAAAACTGTTGACATGCAAGGCCCTAAAATACTCAGAAGAGAAGCAGTGATAACAGATCTTCAATGTAAGTGTCAATAATATTCTAAATACAAAGGACTTAGTTAGATGAGGCTTTTGGTTAAGGAGAATTAGTGATTCATTAACCTCCCACAGAGCCCTAGCTTAAGGTAGAAGCTTCACTAATTCAGTTGTAAGTGGGCTGCAGGTAAAGGTACAAATGCAGATCAAGAGGTTTTCCAAAATCAAGAAATAAATATGTATGAAAAAACATTTTCCCCCTCAAGTTCCAGAAACCCCAAAGTGGAAATATCAATGGAGCAACTGCATGAAGTAAAGTAGACACAAAAAACTGTATTGGAGTAATTGAGTTGTGGCTGGCAGTGTCAGGGCACTGATTCACAACAGTGGGAATTCACTTCACACAAAGAACACAACAGTGATTAAACAAAGTCCACAGCTCAGAAAAATCCACCTGATTGTGGGAATACATTCCCTAATTGCAGGTACTAATACTCAAGTTTAAAGATTGCCCATTCCTAAGGGGTAATTATTTCAAACCCATTTAGTATTAGATCCCAGGAAGCAGCCTCAGAGAGGTAACAAGGCCGCAGCACATCACCCATGTCAGTCCTCTTGAGATCCCCAGGGCCTGGGTAATTTGGACAAACAAACATCTATGTGAAAAGGTCAAGACAAAGCCTTTAGCAAATTTTAACAGCAGCAGTCAGCAGCAGCTCCAAATGACTGAAATGATGATGTTTAAACAAGGTTTTGAGTCATAAAACGTACCAAAATTAGTAGTGAGACCACTAACCAAACATTAACATGCATTATAATTAAAGATGCAGGAAATATTAAGCTGAGTTCCAGCTCAATCTTGGAATAAACCTCACAAAAAGGCTGCCTACTGCAAAAAATAATGTGCAAGACTAGACTAAACTGCCCTGCACTTCCTTCCCTACCCCTCAAGTTGTATGGCATTTGTCTTAGTGATTTATATACTTCAATATTTGAAATTAAAAATTCACTGCAATTAAAATTACATTTTGCTGTACTTTATGACTCAAGACAGGAAATAATCTCTCTCCATTATCTGCTGGTGAGGAGAAGAATTAAGAAAAGCAGTACAAAACATTATAAATCAAATTAAATGACAAAATAAGAACAAGGACATGACAGTGACAAATAACTGCACCTTAAAGAGACAGGATGGCAAAAATTTCAGCCAAAAGAACGTACAGAGCTGACACATCCCACAGATTTGTTTACTCAGTGTAGCAACACTGTCTTTCAACATTTCACTGAAACTAATACTACACCAGGTGAACAGTTCTATACTGAAGTGATTCTAAAGATTGCATGAGAACTCTGGAAGGAAGAGTGACCTCCAAACAGGTCTCTCCTGTTACAGCACAACAGCCTACCTCTTGAACATCTAATACCTCACAGAAGGGTTTCCTAGTGCTTTAAGGTAAAGAGATGTCTTTTCATTAAAAGAAATTTTCAAAAGGAAAAAATATTTATAGTCCTTCAGAGCTTAGAATCCTGGAATTAAAATAAATCACAAAATCTGATTTTGAATCTTATCCAACACATATTTGAGTAAAATTCAGTATATGTGAATGAAAATTGATATTAAAAGAGAGCATTAAGGCAAACCTTTCCTGTAGATTAGGCCTTGCCTTCTACTTCTACTTCCTCAAACTTGGGGGATTTTTAAATTATTTAGAGAAGCACAGTATTCTCCTTACAGGTTCATGAATTTTCAATTTAGTTTTTTTGGTTTGGAGAAGTGGTGGAGCAGCTAAGGCAAACCCATGTAGGAGACTGGGAGAGCTGCTGCCACTCAAGAGGCAGAATAAAGATGAGCTTGGTGGCAGTATTTTGATTTCTCCATCCACTTGCAAATTTTCAAACACAAATGTAGAAACTTCTGAGCAATCTACTCTAGATCTGAATTTAACAATGATTCAGAGGTCACAAAAAGGGTCAGACAAACAAACGAAGCAGTGTCAGACATCCCTGCCTCCTCAAAGCATGACAAAAATACTTCAAAGGCAATCCTGACCATATTCTCACTTACCTTTGCTTTCTGAAGGGGTGCCATGCGACAGCACAACACTGCAGAACAGTTTTTGCAAACTTCCATGAACAGTTTTTCATGTTCCCTGAGTGCAAGAGAGAGGCTGGTCCCATCCACAACCAGTCCATGCTGGATAACATGGTCTTCCTTTATTCTATTTGGGGACAAAAACGTTAAATGTTACAGTGTTAACAGTAAAATTCCAATTTTGCTATAAACTGTGTTGTTGGCCAGACAATAAGCAAAGGAGTTCATCTGTCAGACAGACTACTTTTTCCAGTCTTTAATGATATTAATATATAATTTTTTAAAAAGACAATTTTTTATTTGGCACATGCATCAAAGAGACTGCCATAAAATTTAAGAATGAAAGCAACCCAAGCTGAGATCATCCCTGAGATAGTGACTTCTCAGGTATTTTACCTCTTGGCTAGCTGCCTCAGCTGTTCTGCACAGGTACTGTCTGACTTGTGCTGCACAAGCTCAAGGATGTTCATGGTTCTGTGAAAGTGTCCACAGGATAAACTGACACTAACAGCTGTTTCGTGCTTGTCTCCAGTGAGCACCCACACTTTGATACCAGCCAGCCTGAGGGCTTCTATAGTTTCTTGGACTTTCTCCTGCAGTCTAGAAACAAGAAAAATCTTAAATAACCAACTGAACAATTTACAAACAAAAGAGCTCATACTGTAACTCCATGCTACCACTGTAACCCCACTGTCATGGTGAGTTAAGACTGCCTTTCCAATGTTACATGTATTTTCAGAGAATCATAGTCCAGCAAATGATATTCTGTTACCAGCAACAAAACAAAGGCTTTGATGAAACAAAAACTAAACTTCAATCCTTCTAAGGGATCAAAAATTTGTACTAAGCATGTCTTGATTTAAACTAGGCACTGCCACTGCATTTGAGAAGCTTTAAAACAGTCCACAATAATTCCTGGCTACTGTGGTGCATGAAAAGCTTCTCAAGCCCCAAGTGCTCACTTCAGTGTACAATACAACCTGTGACCTACAGAGCACAAGCAGAATGCTTTGCAAAGGAGCTGTGTGTAGAAGCTTTCCTAAGGAATTTGCTGTTACACTAAATATTTGCTGCAATTATTCCATTTCACATACATGACATCTCTCCTGATGAAACACACTGTACATCACCATTATTAAGACAGAATCAGTTGGTACAAGTTTTGTTTTGAATCTGCCTCAATCCATAGGTAAATATACTAAAGAGGAATAGCACAGAACTTTTGGTCACAGTGGGAGAGCTTTTCACACTTCATATTTCAAATATAAATCCTAAACTCGCTGGGTTTGAGTGCACATAGCAGTAACTCCATGGCATACTTGTCTTCTACTCCTGTAGCCCCAAGCAACTCCAGATCCCTTTCTATGAAGTTGAACACATCTGCTAATTTCTCTTCCCGCTGCTGTAAGGCAGTCCTGGCCTCATGAAGGCGTTTGCCAATTTCTTGGTACTCCTCAGGTGTGAATCTTCTGTAGGCCACACACAAAGTTCTTAGGCCTTTCTGCAAGAAAATAAAAGACTACATTCAGAGCAGACAAGTTTCTGATCTAACAAGAAGGTGTCACCAGCAATTTTTTCACTTCAAGTCACAATTTATCCTGCACGAATTTTCTTCTGTTCAGCTGAGGCTGGGAGCTGGGCAAGCCTACACACTCACCAAAGCAAATTCATCCACATGTATCCTTGTTTTATCTATTTCTCCACTCTTACTGCGAGGAAGAATGGAAGATTCTGCTCCCTTTGTGAATAAAAGCTTCTCCCCTAGAAAGTCAAATAGAACTGAAATTAAAAATAATGTTTAAGAAGTTCTCAAGTGTTGCTTGTGCAATTTCTGACCACGTACCTGAGGGACTCTCTACAATGACACTCATTCGTCTGCGATTTGGATCAAACTCCAAAACATGAAGCAATTTATACCTGCATTTTGTATTTTAAAAGAGGGAACAGGAAGAAAACATTTTTAGAAATAAACTTCCAAAGACAATTACTTATAAATAGACTCTTACACCACAGACCTTTCCTCAAAGTGTTATTTTTGTATAGCAACTCTGAAAGCAATGCTCTCACTGCTGAACAGCAATCATTGTTCATTGCTTTTTATGAATTTATATATGCTTAATTCCATTATGTAAGAATAAAAGGTTCTTCTACCAACAGGAATACTTTCTGGGTACTAACTTAACATTTGGCAATTACAAGCAGCTCCTATCTATTTCTTCATCCTTCTGTCATTATTTCAAGTATAACTTTGAAAACTACATTTTGTTTCTGACAAATCTGTAAAAAATCTAGACCGTTAAAAAAAAGTGTGTGTGCCCTGGTAAGTGGATTAATTTTTGTTATATTACCACTAGCTTAGCAAATTAATTTTAGACATTTAAATTGAAAGTACTGCCAACTAGCTGACACAGATCAAATGAGTAAAAGGAGTTATGGAATACTCCACATATACAGTTATTAATAATTTGTACTCATTTTAGGAAAGTTTAAAATATCTGATTAGATTATGCACAGACGAGACTGATTCTGGGAATTTCAAGAGCTGAAACAAGACTTGAATAAGCAATTCAATTTTCCAACTCTGCTACGTCTGTCTCAACCTTTGAGGAATGGGCAAAGATACAAACTGTTACAACACACACCTACACAGAGTAACTCACACAAAATTCTTGCATCTCAGCTACAATTGGTAAGGAATAAGATGCAAGCTGTCTTGAAGACATCAAGGGAAAAGCATTAAACAGAGCACGCTGTGGAAAGGCAAGGTTTGCTTATGAACAAAGAGGATTAAGAGGAGAACATTACATTAATCTTCACTACTGTTCTAGCCTTCAAAATAATCAAGGAAAAAAAACAAATACCTCTCTGGTTTTCCAAGACTTTTTACTTCCATACTGTCTCCACTAATTCCAGTAAATACTACTCCAACCCTAAAAGTAAAGAAAATATACACTTAATTATGTCTTTAGACAAAATGCCTGTTAATGGAAAGAGGGGAAGATGGCAGGGAAGAAAAGGACAGACTCTTACACCCCATTACTGTACCCTGCTTCTAGGGAAAACTAAGAATGCCCATTTCTGCAGTATTTTATTCACATTATACCCTGACCACTGTAATTTCTCAAGTATTTTCCTAAGTATTTCAAATCATCACTTTATAATGCACCTAGGGGGTTGTGTATTTTACATTTGAATGTTTTCCCAGTAAGGTGACAGTGCCAGGCCCTGCTCTTCACCATTCTAAGGTTCCTGTGTCAGACAGCCCTGGCAGTGCTGCTCACCGGCTCGCAGCTTCCACCAAAGCCTTCTCATCTGGAGAAGAAGCATAATATTCCAGGGGGGATGTTATTCCATTGGCATGCCAGGGACCATCAGCACCATCTGTCTGATCTGCATTGATCTGCACTGTATGGCACAGACAAACTGCTTTCAAGAAGAGCTCTTCCTCTTTCACCTAGAAGAAAGAAAAAATTTGATTTGTAACATTTGTAACATTTACATATCAACCCAGTTTTGAACACATTTAAGGGAAAAGTGGTTTTACTTACAAATCTGCCAAGCATTTCATGTTAAATAATCATATCTCAACGTGTTTAATAAATATTATTTGTTCAGTGACACTTGAAAGCTTCAAACTATTCAGAAATTCTGATTTATGTTTGGGTAGGGTTTTTTTTATGCTAATGGTACAAAAAGAGGTCTCTGAAATAAAACACTTTCAAACTAGAATGACTAATGGTGGGAAAACCAAAGAGCCTTACCAAACCATGCCTATTTCCATCAGGAGAATCTTCAGAAAATCCCTCTGGAGTTAGTTTACCATTGACCTCTTGGTACTTTATGCCATTAATAGAGCACTCCCGAAACTGCATCTCATTTTCAGTTAATGTGCCAGTTTTGTCTGTAAACACATACTCTACCTTTTGTGAAATAAAACAAAAAAAAAAACAAACTTGGAATTGTATGTACTTGTTAAAGGAAAAAAGATAAAATAATCTCCACTCACACTTTCTTTTACACACATTTTTAAAATCATATAATTTTTTAAATCACATAAGAATTTTAACTTCTTCCATGTCATCTTTATACCTTATTTTAAAATTAACCAGAAATCATATCACAAGAAATAAAAAACCCACAGTAACAAATTTAAATATGAAAAACTAAGTAGAAAATAGGTGAAAAAAACCCAACAGACAACATGTTTTTTACCTGTCCCAATTCCTCATTGAGGTCTGAAGTATTTACTTGTGCTCTCTGGTTTGTTTCTTCATGATAGAGGTCAAGATCCCAGCCAATAAAAAAAGACCCAAGAAATTTCTGCATCTCAACAGTCACATAGAGTGAAATGGGTATGATAAAATTGTAAAGTACCAGAAAAGCAAGAAAATCTGAAATAAATCTCAGGATCTACAAGAGAAAAAAAGAAAAAGTGCAGATTACCACAGTGGTCAGGTGAAACCTGATGACATATTATGCTTCAAAATGCATGAGAAATGACAAACTGGGAGAGCCAGAGAAGCTCAAGTCCCCCCCACACACGAGAGAGACAACACTCCAGGGACAACACAGGCATTTGCAGGTTGCCCCAGTAACACACCTCCACACTGATGCAAAAAGCCTGCCTTAAGCTCTGACTGGAGGTTTCAATTCACAAGTTCATTAATTTTTGTCTCTCTATTGAATCTGTCAAGAGGGCTGCCAATTAATATTAACTGTCATGGTGATTCTGTTTTCCATCTCTGAATGAGTTTGGTCTGAGAAATCATATGTATTCCCCATTCCATCAAACAGCATCATTCATGGAAGCTTTTCTAAGGAACCCTAAATTGTGAAGGCAAACAAGTGATTTTCCAGGCTGTCAGAGGAATCTGGAAGCACTCTGTTGTTTCAGGACAGCAAAGTGTCAAGAGGGTTCCTGTCTGCTGGCATTCCCAAGAGATTTGGGTGATCCAGACCACACAAAATGAAAGGGACCACGTGGATTTCTTTTATGCCTCTTCAAATCATTGTGTTTCACACACACATTTCAGGCAAACACCAATGTGACAGGAGACAAATTTCTTTTTACTAGGTATGGTAATTTTAACAAACCCTGAAATGCAACACTACAGTCTCTTCCTCATCTGCACAACAAACCCAGTATCTAAACTGTACCTTGGAAAGACTCTTACCAACACTTGAATATTGAGCAAGGCAGACTAGAGATGACAAAAACCAGGCCACCTCTTTTAACTCCACCAGATATTGGTGCAGGAGAACATTTTAAATAAAGGAAGCATAAAAGTAGTCAACAATTTGCAAAGTTAAATAATGTCTATTCTTCCTCTTTAGGGAGCATTGCTGTAAGTATTTAATAAATAATTAAAATAGCTGACACAAACTCAGCAAGTTCTGTGCCTAAAGAGATCTTCCAAACTAAACCAGAAAAGACAGACAGAAAGTGAGAGCAGAAATTCATCTAAGAGAGGCAGCGACAATTACTTAAGTTAGAGAGCTTCTTCAAGCAATGGCAATGAAAAAACCATCTGCATACACAGGAGGAGATGGACAGGGAAAGAACTCTGAGTAAGGATGTCAGCATGCTGAGAAATGAAAAGCAGATTGTAGAAGTCAACATGGGAGACAGAAAAACAAAGACATGACAGAAGGAGAATGACGCTGCAGAAACACACATGGCTCTCTACACTCCTGATGGCAAAGGAATGGAAAGATTGAGGAAATACTTATCCCTGCCCTATTCAGAACTGAAAGGCTCCACAGGCTAGACTAACTTGCAGAGCAATTATTTCAGATTAAGCTCCTGAACTGCTTTGGACAAAGGCAGACTCATACAGAAATCAAAAATTAAAGAGAACACAGAAAAATACAGACTAATTGAAAAAAGAGATACTTTTCAGAGCCACAGATTTCAGGGACACTTTAAAGTATCCCTTCAATCTCTAAAGAGAACCGACCAGGCAAGCAGGAGCTTGAGCAAAATTACAGCCATACAAAATTGCCCAAATCATCTCAACATCACAGAATGTACAAAATTCCTGAACTGGGAAATCACTGCAATAGAACATACACAAGAACAGCCATCCTTGTCCTCTTTTCCTTTATGGAATGACAAAAGACATCCTAAAGAACAATAATTAGAACATGGACCATCAGAAATATGTTCTAACAGCCTTTTCAAAAGTTTTCAAAAAGTCTGGTCTTTTCATAAAGGAAGGAAAGGTCCAAATAGTAACAGAGGTAGAAATATTTCTACACAATGGTGAGGCTACATGGGACTAACTCAAACATCACTGAGACAACATCACAGAGGCTTGCAAGGGGATCATGTGGTGGTTACACATAGAATAGAGAAATAATATATGACATTGAGTGTATATTGGTTGAGTGTTCCTCAGATATGCACCCAGGCAGAACTACTTTACCTTACTGCTGTTTCTTTCATGCTCTGTTTTTTCATTATACCAAGGCTCATCCCATTTCTCTTCAGCTTGCCATGCATACTTTAAAATAGTGCTCAGAATGGCTTCAAAGAGGAGGATTATTAGATAAATAATCAAAAAGGAATTCATGGACCTATAAAGAGGCAAAAAATAAAGCAAGACATTTTAGTTTATTTTACTTTATCTGTTGACACAGTGTGGTAACACGAATTGATCAAAAACTTGCTGGACCTTTTTTAGAAAGTGTAGCCTGTGCTTGATACAGATATAAAGTTTCTATGCAACAAGCAGGCAACAGAATGGGGAAGAAATTCTACATCTGACTAAGCTAAACTCTCTACATAGCAATATGAAGACTAGATTAAGATGCAGGAACACCCCAACAGCTGACTGGTGTCACACCTACAGTCCCACACTGCTCCTCCTTTTCCCCAAGGAGCTTGCAAGGCTGTGCAGGCAGTACAAACAAGCACAGCACAACCCCATGGCTGCACTTTTCCCTCAGTTAGAAGAGCACTGCCATGTGCAGCTGAGCATTTAACCCAGGCCAGGCTACAGCAGGACAGTCACACCTGCTTCTTGTTCTGTAAACAGCCAGACCATCCTTCCTGCCCATGCTTTGATGACTGAACTTCTCTTGTGCTACACACAGTTGTTTGTATGTAGCTATATATTTGCACAAGAATGCCAGGGGGCTCTCTCAGATTTTTAGGAACTGGAATAAAGGCAACATATCAGAACTCCTTTTCCTTTTAAAATAAATCATGAGACTCAATATAAATATCTATCATAGTAATACCTATCCTGCAACCAGGAGCAAGCTTGGATATTTCCACTTTGTACACTACTAAAGGATGTAATATCAAAAAATAGATTTTATCTTTATAGCTTCCTACTGAAGGCAAGGCAATTATTACTCTCTTCTCTTTGCCTATAACTCAATGATGAGACCACCAGGGTTTTAAGGCTACACAGAAAAAACTAAGTTAAAGCTCTACAAATAAGAGAGATATTAGAAAATAAACATACTTTTCTACTGCTGACCGTTTCTGAGATTTACTCTTGTAATTTAATGCCATCTTTGTCTCCATACCTGTATACACAGCAACACCTGGGAAGGAAAGGGGGAAGAGTCAGACTTCATTTTCTGCATAAATACAATCTGCAGACTTTTCATGTTGAGAGATACAGGATAAAAGCAAAAGGTGGTACTACTTCTGTGTTTACTATGAGACAGTATTTTGTACTATTTGCAAGACTCTTCTGTAGTAAAAGAGTATTACTGAAGTAATTTTAACACCTACTTCAACACTCTTCATTATTATGACTGTGCTGCTCTTCAATATGTATTTTATGGAAATCAGCATGGTAAATCTCAGGAGAAAGCCTTCAACAATAGGTAACAGTAAGAACAGTCATTTATCCATTGAAGTAAAGTTATTCCTTTATCAAGCCACTTCAAATATTTTCACAGAGCAGAGCTGGAACTTTATATCCTTAGAGGTTCTTCAGTATAATATCATTACTTTCATCTATAATCATATCCCCTCAGGTAACAGTCAGCAAGATTATTACAATTTCTTCAGTGCAAGTAGAATTAAAACACAGTTCATCAACATGCTTTAAGAAGAGAATACTCTTTAAATATTTAGATGTCTACAAACCAAATATTTCTTTAGTGTTTTTTAATCTTGCTCCACGAAGTAAGAGACTTTCAGGCCCAAGAGGTCTAAAAAGAAACAGACATATCAGCATGTGAACATCAGCTGCTCTGTATTCCGGAGAAGTACTGAAATCCAGTTTCCTATGCAAAGCTGTCCTATATCCCCTACAAATTCCCAATGCAGCAACTCAATCAGTGATCTTACCCCTTTTGCCACACCTCCCACATCTCCACAGAGCTCTCTGTTTCCTTTCATGTCTCCTTTGGTCACTGCCATACGCCCCCACCACTGCTCCATATCCCATAATACTGACTGAGCTAAATATTCCAAATGGCTGCTTCAGAGAGACCCACAAGGTGCTTGGGAAGGAAGCAGGCAAGAAACCAGTGGAGCTCACAGTGCACCCAAAGTGCTGGTTTAGGTCTGGCTAATTTACCAATCCTCTACCCCTCTGTCAGACTGAAATGATCTAGAAAATTCAAAAGCTATTCATACCAAAGAAACAAACAATTAGATGGATACCATGGCAGCAGTGCCAATTATTTTTCCTAACACAGACATAAAATTTCAGGAGGTAAAATAGATGGTTTTTCCTCACATCTATTACAATACAATAACTCATTAATTTCTTTGGCAAAGTTCATCACAAGCAGCGCGGTGAAAATAAAGGTCTAGTTAGAAACAAGGTTACTATAAGGTTAGAACCATATGTTCTACTGCAGCAGCTGTACCATCTTTAGAAACTGCCAGCAGGGTTGGTTAGAAATTTTAAAAAAAGTATTTTTTCCATTATTTCAAATGAAAGCAGAAATTTAATAACTGCAGTGGCCAGACTGACACACTAAGTAGAAATAAAAGAATTAGAAGTTCAGATGCTAAGTGCTTTGGCATGCAAGCCCTTGGGTTTACCCTATTTTTCCTTTAGCTGTGCCACATGCAGGCCATCATCACTAGTAGATAAACAAAGCTCTTAAATTTGAAGTCCCTTTGAAAGTATAATCTGAAGTTACTCAAAAGAGCCAAAATCAAATCCACAACCCACCTCCCACAGTCAAAAAATTAACTTAAATGTTACTGCAAATGTAACAGTTACCATCACAAATACCATGTGTACCAATTATACACACAGATTATCATGGATTCTTTAAATTAAACATACATATGTTAATATTTTAGGCTAGACTGAGACTTTAAGTGAAAATTTGAACTAAAAGTGACTAAATGCTTGAGCATTTAAAATTTTCATATAAGAAACACAATTTATATTTCTGGATTCAATTTTATAAAATCAGCCTGACTCAAAATACCAAACCTGAATCAGTGCAACACAGACCACAGACAAGTTTCTCTCAGACAGAAGATACAGCTCCACTAGTAGTCAGAACTTGCAATTATTTTTTTCACCTCCATTTAAACCAGCTGTTTCACACTGTCAACTGAATTATTTTGATAAATTATCCCAATGCTGCACCTGTCAAGCTTGGCAGGAATGAATTCTGAAAAGCTCTCAATGAAGTAACAAAAATGACCTTAGAGAACAGCTGAGTGGGTTTTGGGGGGTGGCATGGGTGAGGCTTTTTGGTGAGGGTGACTAAGGCACTGAACTTGAGGCCGAGTGACCTGGCTGCTACACTTCCATATTTCTGGCAAAACTCCTTGATTCACTCTGAATTCCACGTCACTCCCATCCAAAGCTGACAGATGTTTGCCAGCCTCAGACTGAGAGATAGTCAGCTCCTCAGACTGAAGGCAGATATTACAAGGAAAACAGTAGTCTTTTAAAATTCAACAAGAAATTTCGCTAAAAAACAGTGTAAAGGATAACATTTTGGACATTAGAGGAGTGAAAGAACCAAAGCAGATTTACCTGCTTCTGTGACAAATTTGCACACAGCACTTCACCTTTTCAGAAGAGGTGATAAAGTTTGTTGAAAGCTGGAAAATTAACAACTTTCAAGATAAAATAACTAAACTTGAATGCTAAATATTTCTGAAAATTTAGTAATTTCTTGTGAGTGATTTCTACGTCTTTATTTCAAATATTATTCTTCTAACTCCTGTCCTTCCTGTTTTCTCTCCTATCCTGTTGTGGTGGTGGGAACTGAATGAGCAGCTGTTTGGATGCCTCACTGGTAGTTGAGACCAGCCCACAGCAATCAGAAATCTTTCCAGGAAGTCGAGATGGAAGTCTGGAATTGGCTTCACATCTTTATTTTTGTAATTGCAAGCGTGTTTGTTACTTGCTGTGACTGCACAAGGAAAGGTGGTGAGCCCATGATTATGTGCACACAGCTGTGTTGCACATAACAGATGTAAGCACTTATCTGCACAGTCCAGCTGTAGTTTGAAATAGATACTAAAAATTACAAATTTATAGCAGAGGCTTTGTTAAACCAGGAATTTCTAGGGATTTGAAGAGCAAAAACTCCTTCTCAGCACCTCTGATGACTGGGGATCTCTTGCAGTATAGATACTATGTCAGTGGAAATTGTTTCAGATCAATAAATGTATTAATTAAAAAATAACAACAAAGTTACCAGCTGATTACCAGTGCCAAAAAATTACCTGCCTCACAACAGCCAAGCTTTCCAGAACTCTTGCATTAAATCTCCAAAACTGGGTAGTAATGTACTTTTTTCACTCATCTTTTCTCATCTCCATCTGAGGTATGCAGCTGCAGTTGATACTTTTAGTAAAAATACCTCTCCTTTTCATATATTCAACAGTAACTCTTGTGATGGTTAAGATTTTAACCACCTCCACATGTTCTAAATAATTATCTTATACAATTTACTCACCGTACTATTTCTTCAGCTTGTTGACTTACAGTTATTCTTCCAACAAATCTATGAAAGATGGATATGTCTTAGAAGCATCTACATAAAGACTCAAAAACATAAAAACCTTCTCTACATTTATAAAATAGTCATTAATAGTTCACAAGTAAAAAATAAATAAACTTTTATTAACAATCAAACTAAACCAATATGGCGAAACTGGCAGTAATTTTACAAGGGACATTTAGCAACAGAAACGTTTATCCCTCATAGGAACAGGCATCTGAGAAAGCTTATTAACTCTGATTAATTGCCACAAAAGATTATATTTCTATTAATTTAAACAGATTGTGACTTCTGGATGATTCAGTAAGAAATAATTCCTTAAGAAATCTAAGTTTGCACATTATCCATCAGAAATAGAAACTTTTCATTTAATAAAGCCAATCTACTACACATTTAAAAATCTGACATGCACATATTTAGCATGACTCCAGCTACAAAAAGGGACACAAACTTCTATAGTGATTGTACCTTAATTTGCTAAATATCAAATATTTGAACATCTGTTCAAACTGAGTATCTTAGTTTTAAAATACCTAATATTTCTCAAAGATCTCCAAGCTTACCTAAGAACAGCTGTGATAATATACTTGGATTTTGAAAACTACTACTTCATAGCTTCAATCATTTTCCATTACACAATTCAGAAGAAACTTGGATGGGAACATAACTTTTGCTACCCATGATGCTGCTTTACAGAGTCTATGACCTTGCTTGCTGATGTTAAAGCACACTTGGATATCCCTTTTTAAATGTAAGGTTTTGCTGCTGAAAAATGGAGTTCAAATCTTCCCTGAAGCATATGTGAAATAAATATGAGCAACACATAACCTTAGAATTAGACTTGAGTCAATTTCACTTTAACATATCCTATATAATATTGAAATCTCCAGCAGAATCCTAAGGAACTTTCTTCAACTTGATCAGACTGTTGGCCATTTAATTCTTTAAAATCTAGAAACATGTTTACTGATTAGAAATGAAATGTACATAATTAAAACAAAAAAGATAAATATTATAACGTCTGGTTTACTACTCAAGTACTCTCAAGTTTAACTTGTCACTTGCAACTTACAGTAAGTACATATGTATAAACACAAGCTGATTATTAAAACCAGAAATTCAAGCAGATCTCTGAAGCTATTTTAACCCTAGCAAGACCTGTAACATTCTGAGTATTAAACACCTCATTTTGATTCCATTTCAAAATATTTAATAATAAAGTGATACCTGTACAGATCTGCTTCTGGCTGCTGACATTCTATAACAGCTACCAGTTTGTCCAGGTTGGCAACAGACTGCAGCACTGCTGTTTCTGGGACTGCAACATGTGTCTGTAAAACAGCGACCATTGGGTTACTACAGGACTACCAGGCAGCAGGGCAGCTATTTCAACAGGCTGAAGGAAAAATGGCACCACAAATTAACTGCATTCTCTTTCACATGAGTGACCCAGACCTTAAGATTGGTCTCTCCATCCAAACTTGCAGTGGTAACGTGGCATGAACCGTCCACTCGGTCAGATGACAGGAGCACCAGATCAACAGGGAAAGTCTCATCTTTGGCTACTCTGACAATGTCCCCCACCTAACAAAGTGAACAGAGATCAGAAAGATACAAAGAGGTTTAAAGGGCAGAATTCCTTTCAGCATTGTTACCAAACCACAATGATTAGCAATAAAACCAGAGTTTTGGTTGTATAATAAAAACAAAATGCTCAATTTGTCCTTTACCCGAATGTTTTTAGATCTGGTTTTCACAAGGCCACCACTTCGAACAACATAAACTGGAGCACCGTTAACTTCATTGTCTGCTTTATGTCGCAGCCAGTCCTCATAGCCCTGTGGAAAACACACAAAAAGCTACTTTTTAAGCAAGAAAACTAAAAAAACAGACTAAATTTAATCTATTAAGCAAATGTCTTCAAACTACTTCCTGTATTGTCTGAGTAGTTACTAACTTCTCTTGAGTTTCTGCTCCAGCTGTTACTCAAGAACCTGTGAACCTCTTAATTTTGTCACTTTACACAAACATGTAAAGGCAAATAAAGTAGCAGAAGTGGTGAAGAAATGTAACAGTCCCATGTTCTCTTAAAACAAGCAGGCAGTGACATTTTCTGTGGATCGGATGACCAAGCACTCAATAAATCTTTGATCTATATGGATTAATACACCACAAAACCAGGAACAGTCAGTCCTCAGGCTCCTCTGTGGGTTCCTTTTTTTTAGAAGTAACAGATTAAAATTACTTCCTCAAGTCATACCATATAACATTTCTTATAGTTACTGCCATAGCCCAGGCATGAAACCTCAAGACTTAACTCTGTGTGACACACTGTTGACACATCAGCTCTGTCCAGCAAGAGAAAATGACTGAGAAGATTTTTGTTCTTTTTGAGTCCTAATGGAAGAGTCTGCAGCAACTGAGCTTTTAAATGACAAACTAAACAGCTTTTCTTTCCTTGATACTTCACAACTGTTTGGGCACCCTTTATCCCGTGTACACACGTGCACACATTCAAGACTGTGAATCCAAGTATACTATTCACCTCCTATTTTTCTAAAGTATGAATCCACAGCTTGTTTAATCTAACAGCATTAGATCATAACAGCATATTAATCTCTGATCCCCAAGTCTAGGTACTGTTTGGAAAGTCCCACTAGCAAGCACAGGAAATGGATCAATCGTGCAGGAAGTTCAAATGTCTCTTACAACATGGCAAGACTCCTGCAACTAATCTGCAATAACAGAGACTTCATAAAATGCTTTTCTGTAGGTATAAGAACTGTGAAAGAGTTAAAAACATTTCCTTGGAAGTCTGAAGACAGAAGAAGGCAGCTGTGTGAAACAGCAGGCATAATCCCAACTCTTCCTACAAACATTATATTAATGTCATTGTACAAGAAGTACTAATGCAGATGCAATTTAGAGTTCTGCAGTTTGCAGGAAAAGTTATATGATGAATTTTGCATGTTAAAAATAGTGTTGTAGTTCTACCTTCACACATCTCCACTGTTATTTGCACAAATGAGTAAGGACAGCACTATCTGTGTTTGAAAAGAAAGATGAAGGAGAGGGGAAAAGAAAAGAGCTTTATATGCTAAATAGTTCAAAATCAATAATTAAGAAGTGTGCAGCAATAGCAGCCATACAGAGAGATACTGGGACATCAGAATCCTGAAGTCCCCAAGTACAACTCTTGAATCCTTTCTAAGCAGTATGAAAAAGCAAAAGTCAGTACCTACAGCTCCTTGTTAAAGGTGACTGACAGAAGAAAACACGGATTTAACTAACACCCAGTAACCTTGGGGCATTTGCCTCACAGACCTGAACAGCTGAGCAATGTGGGCATTTGGCAAAGAACTGAAATTTACCTTCTTTAGAAAGTACAGATTTCAGCTCTTTCTCCATCTGACACCTCCTGCCTCCAACACAAGGGTGACACCTCACACCAGGGAATTTTCAAGAGCCAACTTTGTGTGGTCAGTTCAAATTCCCCCCAGATTTACCTACTGCGGCATTTTTGAGAGGTCCTTGTCCTCACTTGAAAACATTGGAAAAATACAGTGAGAAAGAAGAAATGCAAGAGGAATACAGGGAAGGTTGTCTACTTGCCAGAAAATAAAGATTAAAATCCCTCAATTAAATTACATTCTTAAGTTCTGCTTAAATAACTGCATCAATGTGATTGAGAAAAGATCTGCATTTTATACTACCAGGCTTTTCATGTTCAGTTTAGGTCCATAGTTAATCAAAACCTGCAAAGTAGTTGTTTTATAATTTACCTGGTAGTCAAGTAACATCTGTGTTCCTTCAGCTAAATACATTTGAACTTATTAAAATGCACTGTTTCCTAAAGTTCCTTGGGAAATACCTTTATGTTGTTGTATTTTTGTTTGTGCTTTTTTAATTTTTTGTTTTGTTTTTATTTATTTGCTAACTTTGAACTCCTTGTAGGACTGCACAAAGATCTTCAGAGGCAGAAGGAGGAAAGTGCTCTGGCTAACAAGACAGACAAAATGACACAGCATGAGCTGCATCACTTTGCAGTCTGGTATGTCCTTCTTCTGACCTAGGTGCAACTACACTTCCAAGTAGAAAAAAGTTCTGTCTCCTTGGCTGAGCTTAAAACAAGGCTGAGTTCTGAGGTTTGCAAGAGGTGCCACATTCACCAGTCTTCTGGAAGGCAGAGGACTTTTTCCATCCATTGCTAAGCTTCTCAAACCTTCATATGATTAATGCTTCTATTTTTCCCCTTCATCTTTTGAGAGTATACAAAATTATAGTCTAACATTCATCCTGAAGCAACTTTGTATAGAACCAGGGCCCCACAGCTTTCAAAAAGGGGTTCTTTCCTTAAGATCTGCTCCTATTACACTTCTGGTTTAGAGAAAATGGGAACTGATTTTGAGGCAATAGTGGGGATTTTTCCCTCTGCACTCCAACAGATTTATCTTTATCCCTTATCTGAGGGCAGCCTGTTGGAAGCAGCACAATTCATTGTCCCTTGAAGATAACAGCCTGCGAATATTGCTTGCTTCCTTTGCAGCAGGCAGGAGAAACGTGAGAGTCCATTAGAGCAATTTAGGTGGTTCCAATAGTCCTTGCAGAGATATTGAGACAGCCAGAAAATCTCTTGATGCCTGGTAAGTCATGAAAGATTCGAAACTTCCAGGAGGAATGACAGAATCTCTGTTCGTCAAAATTGATGATAAGGGAGTTAAATTTCCTAATATAAGATTGGACATCTAGAAGCAAGGTGGTGTTAAGATTATTTTGGACTTTTTTAGACTTACACAAGTCCAATGTCTTTCTGGAAAAAATGATCTAATATTTATAACTCTGTTTCATAATCCCTTTTAGTCCACACAGTTTCATTATCCACTGCCTACATATAATTATAGCTTTTGAATATGTGATTTTTTGGGGGGCGATGGTAACAACTGCAATTGAATAGGATTAGGGCATTCCACATACACAAATTGCACAGCAACAAGATGAAATATTAGTCCAAATATTACTCCAGCTTTAAGAACCACTCTGTCTCAAACACCTTTCTATCTGCTTGAAAGCTAGAACTATTTTTACTTTTGCCCTATTTCTGGGTGGCTTTGGGTCTTTCTGGCACAGAAGGCAAATTGAAATTCTGGTTACAGCTCTGGAACAGTCTCCTGCTTATTTTTCAGTTGCGAGGCTGCATCTATTCCCGACAGCACTGTCAAATCCCTTGAAGAGGATAGTTCTTGAAAATTACCTCCCTGCAGAAGAGATCATAATTTTTATCCACATCACTTCTTTATTTATGAGCTTGTTTCTTTCTCCTCTTGCTTTAAGGACATAAAGAAAACAGAAGACCTTTTTCACTTTCTTTTTCTTTTCTTTTTACATTCTGATTCCAGAGGCTCTAGGTCTCAGTAGAATGTAATATGGTGCTAGAACAAGATTTTTGTTAAACTCAGACAATTTTTGTTTTAAGTGCTATGAAACATTCCAAAATGTTTTATGCAACCGAAGAAGACCAGGGGCTTTTACCTGGTACACACTCACAGTTAATACACATTTCCCACCATAAAACTTACCCCTTGGGGCAAAATTTGCCTTTTAACTATTGACAAACACACCCTGCATCACTTTTTCATCTGCCCAAGCTCCTTTCTCAGGGTGCAATGTGGGAGGACTGGTTCTAACAGGCAGTGAGGTGTGCCAAAGGAATAAGTGAGGAGCTTTCAGAAAAGGTCTGATAACAAGTGACATGTAATGTTTAGACAAAAATGCTGCCTGACAGTCATCCACTGTCCATTTTAGGGTACTGCAGTGAGTCACTGAGTGCTTCACAACCAACCAAATGCTGAAGCTCAAGCATCTAACTAGAAGCATTAAAACCAAAATAGTTTCTAAAAATTATACCATTTTAATGTATTTTTAGTATCTAAGCACTATCCTGGTCAGACTCTAAGTAACTTTACTTCAGTAGGACTTCATGCTGCCAGATTTTTCCCCTTTACCTGTTTTATGGCTGTCACAGTTATGACAAAGAATAATGGCAATCCACTGGTAATAGGACTGGTAGGGGTATCTATCATGAGCTAAAAGAAAAGAAAATATGAAAATTAGTCCACATGTCATTTCTACATTTGTACTTTCAAAAAAAAAAAAAAGAAAAAAAAAAAAGAAGCAAGACTACTATTTTCCAAACTCTGCATTATAACCTGAGAGTATTTTTACTGCATGTCCTGCAGAGTTTCTCAAGAAAAACTCAGTTTCTGACAACTAAATAATACGTCAGTAATGATGCAAACAAATGTTTTAGGGCACAGAGAAGCCTTAGTCTCATTCATATAGGATGTGACAATTTTAAAGGTCCTTACCAAAAAGAAGGTATTAATTTCATCCTAGAAAAATGAACTCAAAAGAATATTACAAAGGAAGGAAACCTACATTTCATGAAGCTGTTTCAACACTATATGATCTACTGCTTACCAGCAATGTAGAGTATAATATCATCCACTTTAGAAGTGAAAATAAAGTTAAGATCAGTAATTTGCAATGGTTTAGATATTAGAGAACACCTTTTCAAGACTGCACCTTTCTGGTTGCCCCAAGTTAACATGCGGTTTTTACAATTTGTGCAATTATTGCTGGCATGCCAAAAGTGCAGTGTACACACTAAGGTTCTGTATGTGGGGGATGTTAGTGGCTCTCTTCTGCTGCAGGAAAAAATCAACATGGTCAAGTGCTGTAAAGGAGATATACACAAGAACTACTCAAAACCACAGACATTGATTTGATCCACTTTACCTGAGACTTATGGCATTGCTTTGGGAATCATTAAAGAAGAAAAAAAAGTCATACATGAAGTTTACTCTATCACTGGGGAAGAACCTCACAGAGAAAACAGATCATGCCACTTTACAATGCACACATAAGGTTTTTGGTTGGTTTTTTTCACTGAAACAGACACTTTATAGAACACAACAAAAATGAGACCTAGTCTGCAATGCTGTCTGCTCTTTAATGGTGGCACTACAATTTCAGCTTGGCAGCATACTTACCAAGAAAAACGCTACCAAAAGCATCTGATTTTTGGCTGGATATGGTTAACCATGGCATTTCTGCTGTCTGTACTCTCTCATCCTTTCTCAAGAGAGCTCATATATGAAAATGAAGCAGGTTTTGTGCTGGTGGAATTGTCATGTTTCACCAGGACACCATGGTCCTCTGCCTGCCATGCAGCTGGACACAGAGCCATGACACACCTCGTGTCACCAAAATGCAGTCTGTCACCTTGGTTTGGGCATGCACATGTGTGGTGAAGAATGTGAACAACTGGACTGTGCTGCAAGTTGAAATCACACAATGAGACCCTGCCCCAGCTCTGCCATTCCCCGTGGGAAAGGTGGTAATGACAAACACTGCATCTTGGCCACATGAGATTCACAGGACAGGGAAGGTACCATGGTGGTCAGCTTTAAAAGGCAGTTTAGCCTCAAAAAAATAAAAACATTAGATATTAATGAACTTCCAAAAGGGATTTGAATAAAAACAGAATTCCATTTTAACAAATGAACAAAAATGACTTCAACTTTTCTGCTGCTCTGTTTCCAAGAACGCAGACACACCGACAAGAAAACATTTGCCATACACGTGAGGGCATCCACTTGATACAAACTGAGAGGACAGGATTACACTCAGAACAGAATTTCTGCCTTAGATCCTTATTTAGATACTACTGAAAGGCAGTAGTTTGAAAGAACTATGACACAACAGTGAACTGAAGAGATAAATCTGCATTAAAAAAAGTAAAAGTCATGATGTCTGTGATTACTTTAATAACACTTATGTTCCATCTTCAGCACATTCCCATCTTCCTCAAGCTACAGTACGTTAAAAAGCATGAAACATTACAACAGGAATGATACAGCCATTATTCTTAACAGGAAGATGTGACAGACAACACATTTTGTCAGCCTAAGTTAGAACTGTATGACTTTAGTCAAGCACAGGAATTTTCAGCCTAGGAATGTTCTTCTTTTTAAAAGTGAAAGAACAAGATCAAGGGACACAGGAGCCAATGGATTGGCTGACCCTGATACTGACACCTTACACAACCACAGACAAGTTTTATGAACTCTTCACTATCCCCATTCTTTGTCAAATGGGGTGCCATATTTTTTCATATGCACACTCTAAATGTTGGTTAATCACTGTGGAGGGCTGTACATGTTCAAATAATTCTATTTTATAATGAAAGAAATTTTGAGTACCTCAAAATCTTGTCTCTGCCTCAAATACTAATTAGTATTTCAGAAGTTACTATCTCTCCTCTGAACCCTTCTCCCACCTATCCATCACCTACTAAGCCTACAACAGCTCCACAGAATTCAGGGACATTACAGAGCTGGAGAGGCAATGATCATAGGAGATGTACAGATTGTCCCAATCTACTCGTGGGTGTTCATAATTAAAAGAAATACAATCAGCTACTAAAGCCACAGCAGTATTTCTGACATAAACTGTAACAGTAACAGCACTAACTGAGGTCTTCAAAACTGGCAAACTATTGATTTCACTGTAATATCTGTGTGTTCATTTTATCTGAACAAATTGAATTTGAGGATCTTAGAACTATAGCCTTAGAACAATAGTCTGTTGATGACAACCACCTACAGTGGAAATATAGAAACATTCAAACAACACTAATGCCCTCAAAGTCAAGAAGTATATCTGGAATTTCATTACTCCCTTAAAAGCTTTAAAGTTGTAGTTGGAGGCAGACAAGTGAATCCCTGTGCTGACTGTGCAATGGACTTTGAAGCTACACACTTAAAAATACATTAGTATTCATGAAGATAAAATGTAAGGATAATACTTAAATTTGGACATAATTATTTTTAAAGTTATGTTCATGTTATTTTCCTGGAGAAACTGGAAATGTATTCTTTTTATAGACAGAATATATAAGTAGAGAAGTTAAATTCATAAAACAAAAATCAGTGGCAAAATTTACAACATAAATTGCAATTTCTTGAGTATTATTCAACTTACCTGAACCAAAAATATAATCAGAAAATAAAAGTTGGCTACTCTTCTGAACTGCTCAAATAAGTTTTTTGGAACAAAATTCCACACTGTATACTGAAGGGGAAAAAAAGGAGAGAGATTAATAATTACAACACAATGCACAATTTTTCAGTGCAATTCAGTTCTGCTCCCATTGAACTCTCCTAACCTAAATGTTCTCATTTCCCAGGTCCCCTCCCCCAGACCTTGCTGCTGTATCCAATTTTTGGTTTTTTTTTTTTTATTCCTTCTGTTTTAAGTACAGCTAGCAGGGAAGCAGTGGCAGCAACTGCATTTCCTCTACAGGCCAAGTTTAAAATGTTTTCCTCCAACTGGGACAGGGGCAGCTGGAGTCATTTGGCTGCTCGTGTCCTGGGTAGGAGGAAAGAAATTAATTCCTGCAGCTGTAACATTCCCTCCAACACTACAGCAAGGAGGCACATCCCCACCATCAGCTCTATTGATTTCAATCCAAGGACACACCGGGAGGGAATCCGCAACTGCAGTCCACTGCTGATTTATTTTATGCAGAGTACTGGCTTTCAATTTGACTATTTTAAAAATCCTCATAACCAGCTTCATCCTGCCTTTTAAGTAGTTTTGGTAACACTGGATGAAAAACTACTTTTCTTCAGAAAGCCTGACCAACTTGCTTAATTGCTCTGTACTTGAGTTTTGAGGAAAGAAGGGTGAGAGAATGAGACAAACTACACAAGAAGCAACCCAGCTTTTCTCCCGAAACAGCTCAGAGTTTGTTTCACTTTGAATATTGTGTATGCACCACTAGAAATAATACAGGCATGCACATCTGCCACACAACTTCTTAAGCAACACATCAAGTGGTTTTGCCATGACAAATTGATTCCTTACCTTGGATGATATGATTCTGTTGTCTGCAAACTTCTGAGGAACATAATGGCCATGCTGGGGAAAACGGTTTGCTATATAAATAGTTCTTGTGTCGCTTTGATGCGGTGGGTCAAAACCCTAGAACATAAAAAAAAGAGGTAATCAAGAAAGTTGATTTCATTAACTGCTGTTTTGTAAAATTCTGCAGAAAAGGACATTCTGTGGAAAAGGTACCAAGAAGTCGTTTTCAAAGAGTAAAGAAAATCACTGTAGAAAATTGAAGTCTGCTGTGTCCAGACAATTTTCAAAAACTGTGGGAAAAAACCCCAAAATCTTACTTTTGAGGTTGTGTACTCATTCTGAAAAAAATGAAAGGAAAAAATCCTGTCTCAAGACTAGAGAACACTTGCTACCATACAAACTTGAAGCCCTGCGAAACTTAAAAAGGAAGAAACAATTTACAAAACTTCACAGCCGTGCTCATGATAACTCTAATAAAACAGTTTATTGAGAAAAATAAAAGGTCAAAACATACAAGCTATACTACTGTGCTGTGGTAACTGGATTTTGAAAAGACTCTCACCAGAGAAAAGCCAAAAGCATTGACCAGACAGCAGTATTTTTCCAAACAAGTTCTATCTCCAAGAACTAACATTTTGTCTCATTTCAAATGTGATTTCCTGCCATTACCACCAATTCATACCTGAATGGTGCAACAATGAAAGCAAAGCCATGGGGAAAAAAAAAGAAAAAGCATACTCAGCAATACTTATCAATAATTTCCTGCCAAAACAGATGATCTGAGTGAGGTCTCTGGGAATCAAAGCCCTGTTGCAGGTCTAATGGTCAGTGTTTTCATCATCTGCTTCTTCAAGAGAAGTGGAACACAAGTGTTAAACCTGCAGATGATATCACCCTGGCACTGCAAGAACACCAAGTAAGAGAAAATTCTTCACCAACCAGATGCACAGAACACAAAGATCCAGCACAAAGAAACTGCATCCAGAAAAAGAGAATAAAAGGCCGTAAAGGAATTTTAAAGAAAAATGTCAAAGGCTATAATAGATCACAGGCTAGACATGAGTCATCCACGTCACCCCACTGAGAAAAAGGCCTTCAGTGCAGAGGAGGCTGCAGGAGGAGTGGGAGCCACAGCTGAAGCACTGTGAACCAACTGGACAGCACCCAGAGGAGTGCAACATGAGCCCAAGAGATCCTGAAAACATGACATATAACGCAAGGCTGAACAATCTAAAGAGCAAACAAATTAGAGTCATTTAGCCTGGAGGAGAGGAAACTCAGGATATCCCAGTAAACCTCCTGATACACAGAAGACTGATCCATTGAGAAAATGGAGGCTTTGAAGGCCAAAGAAGAACAGAAGTAAACAGGCTGAAGTTGCAGGTAAGAAAACTTAAGTCTGGGTATTGGAAAGCAAACAAATTCTTTTGTTGTGGAAAGGAATAATTAAATAGCAAAACAAGTCATGAGGAAAGGTTGCAATGTCTGTAACACAAGGGCTTATATCTAGGTCATTCAAGTCTATGTTTAATTGAGCCTTTCCTGGGGCTACATGACTCACCAGAACCCTTCCTAGCAATAATGTTCTGACCCGGAGAAGCAGGTGATGGCAGAAGACAACCACACAGTAATAATTCAGATAACAGGCCAAGAAAACTACTAAAGAAAAAAGCAAAAAGCTTTTAGGCATTAAATAAACTAGTGAAATTAAATTTGGAACTGTTGTTTGATTGGGAGTCAATGACTGTCTGCAAAGTGGGGAATTCCCACATCAAAATCACACACATTCCTAATCTTAGAACCAAATGCAGAGTGTGATCTCCTTATTCTTTGATGCCAAGTGCAAGGACAACTGGTGGTGTCCTTTGCTAGAGAGGTGTCCTTTGCTATCAACTCCACCACTGCAGGTGAGGAAACTGCATTTGCAGTTGTTTTGCTCCACTTGTGAATGAGGCTCAGAGTTTTATCCATGTGAAAAAAGTGACACTTCACAGAACTCCAGAGAAGATACCTCTGTACCACTTAACTACAGAAGATGAACAGTGAGCACAGTGACTGACATAAAAAATGACTGGTGCAGCCAAAAATTAATTTCTTTTTAATCCATGAATATCTCTAATGCAGGTCATTAGGTATGTTCACATTCAGGACGGCGTCATTTTAAAGTAAAGGAATAATTAAAGAATCCTCTCAAACATACAAATATTTGTGTTTGGCATCATTACTACAGAAACATTCTGCTAGAGAAAGAAAGAGGTCCAGAATAATGAAGGGAGAAAGAAAGGAAGGGGGATTTTTCAAAGAGATTTGAAGGAGAATAAACTTTAGATGACAAGCAGTGGAAGGCTGGTCTAGTCACATGCTCCAGGGTGAAAACTTGTTTCAAGATAAGAGTGGAGCAGGGAGACAAAAAGTAGATAGGGGAAAGGATGGAAAAAAAATACACAGGATACCAAAAGCAAAATGCAAGGAACTATTCACAGCTTTAAGAAAAGAAATACAAGTATGAAAGGAAGATGAAAAAAAATGTACCTGTTAACTGCTGACACAAAATTTAAAGAGAAGAGTGTTTGTAGCAGAAGCATTTTGGATATCTGACATTAGTGACACAGTATTTCTAAATCAATCCAGAAGATGCCACAAATAAAAGTGTTTTTCAAGCAAGAAAAAAGGTGCCTAATTAGTAAGACTTCATGCACAGCTCTCTTCTGCATCTCAGAAAATGTCTGGCACTCACAAAATGCCAGACATCCTCACTTTGGAAAGTCAGACTCTACAGCATGAAAAAATTCCACTCTAAATCAAACAGATGTAAAGCAAAGAAAAAAACCACAAAGAGCAGAGAAAACAAGTTGCAGTCTTCTTTCTGACAGTGATAAATGCTAACCTGCATGCCACTTGCTGAACGCTATTAAAAGATAAATCAAAGATTACTGACTGACTAGGATATCACTGAATTTTCTATATGCCCTTTTTAGGCCACTATCTGAGCACCTGAAGGTTGATGAGTATGATGACATTTTATGATGAAGAGTAAAGACCTCTGTACAACTCCAGTCTGACTGCACAGCACTTCTATCAGAACGAATACCTCTGCTGAAGCAGCTCAGATGATTCAAAGCAAGAACTTTACTTCCCAAATAAATCAGAATCTCAGGCCATAGAAATTTACAGGTGCAGTTGTGGAGCTAAAACAGCTTAAATGTGCAGTCCATAGAGATTGAATTCTGTTTTGTTGACATTTGCCATGCAGAAGGCACAGAAGCTGTGCAGTCAGCAGATCGCAGCACACACAAGGCAGGCTGGGGACAAAAACCCCTCAGTTGTCAGAGCTGTGGTTGGAAAAGGACACATCCCTGACAAGCTCAGTGACTTGGCTGTAGTCACAGCAGGAAGTGAGTGTCAGAGCTGGGAACAAATCCCAGATTTCCTAAGTTTTATGACTATGACTACTAAAAATCACTTGAAATTAGCCAACAACCCTGCCGTCTCACAATCAGATGAGACCACAACTAAGCAGATCTTCCAGAGAAATTTTAATTACACATCTCTCCAAGGAAAATTCTGCACAGGCATTGAACTTCATTGTTCAAGAGCTGAAATGTCTTTAACTCTTCTCTAACTATGGGGCTGGTCACAGAGCCTGCTCCCGACACTGAACTGATTTGTAGACCAAATTTCTGCCCAGCAAGGGATTTTCCACAGTGACTCTGTGCAGCCAGCAAAGCAGTGCAGAAAGCACACAGTTTCCTAATTTCACTTAATGGACAGTTCTCTCTTTCTAACGTCATTCTCCAACTCAGCTGCAAAAGTAGGGTAACATGCCCTTGTCAAAGGATTTCTGCAGCTAAACAGCATGAGCAGAGAAACCCTAAATTAGAGTCTTGCAAAATGATGAAGTTGTCACCAATCTCTTTCCAAAAAAAGTTAGCTTTCCTGCAGTTATCTAGTGAAATGATTTCTACCCAAGTGCACACATCACTGACTTCATAACAAATAATGCTGAATATATGGCAAGACCTGGTATTTAAGGCCTCTTGACCAGGTATATTACAGGAATATGTATTACATGAATCCCCTTTAAATAAAATTTGACCATATGATGAAGTGACCTGATTTTTCTTCCCTTCATGCTGCAAATTAAATCTAGATTTATTGGCTAAAGTTCAGTTCTTCAGATGATCTACCAACACAAACCAGGTGTTATCTACCCTTGGAATACAGCTCTCATTTAATCTTTGCTACACACTTCCCCAGCAGTTTTGCACCCAGATGAACTCAATACTTTGGTTTTGAAAACAGCCTAAAGCATGCCTCTTATATACAGTACAGAGATACTCGAGTTAAGCTGATTTATAAAGCACAAATGAAAATAACCTTTAAAAATAAGAAAAGAAAGAAGTGATTCATAGTTTTAAGTTCTTATAAATTTGAATGACTGTAAGCAAAGTCTGAGTAATTTTCATTGAACTTCTTCAGAACGATTTCATTACTGTTCTAAAAGTTAGACACAGATATTCTCTGTGCAGTAAATTAGGCCCCTTTAAAACACCACAGAAAACATATCCCAGGGAACTGAGGAGAAATATTTGACTGCAATTTTATGCAATTTATTTCATGAAAGCCATGAGATTCAACAGCCACCCCCAAACAACTCTCTCCTACATTTTGTCTGCATCTCAACCACTGTACTTGGAGAAATGCCCATTGGCCATCAGGTAAGGAAAACTGATCCATCCATTTTGGTTTGTGGTTTTGGTTTTGTCTTGGGGGGTTTTTTCCTCTTTGTAAATGTCATGCCAGTTGTCTGGTATATAATAAAAAGCTTCCCTGTGAAAGAAGTTTTACACTGCTGCTGAGGAAGCCTCAATAACACACAGAACAAACCAGGCAACCGCACAGGAAGCAAATGAGGATCAGCACTACAAAAAATACCCTCCCAACACCTGCAAGTGCAATGGAGGAAAAGCAAAAAAGGCTTTTGTATTCAACCTGTTGCTGTAACATCTATGCAAGACTTAACACTTAATACCACTATTAAGGTATGGCAGTGTGCACCAAGGCCCTCCCCACACACCCCACAGCACTGTTAGGTGAGACAGCAGAAACCCACAGAT